ACCCATGTCCCTCCACACCCTCAGTCCCCGCCCCATCCACGTGCAGATCAGAGCGGGGAGGTGGGGAGGGCAGGTCAGGGCATCCCCCATGGGATTTCTGCCATGGTCAGTGGCGGTGCGTGTCTGCAGGCTGTGCTCTCTTCCATTCCAGGCACCGAGGGACAGTGCTGAACATGATTATGAAACTGTTGACGACAACATGCAAAAGACAGTTCACAAAATGCAGGCACTTTTTCCTTTCTAGTCCTCTAGTGTCTGGAAGTCACCCAGCCTTCAAATACTGAGACCTTACATGACATTGGTTACTTGCAGAGGCTAAATACAGCCCTATGGATCCACAGCACAACCTCCAACTGCCTCAATCCTGCAGAAAGGGGCCCACTTTCCTCCAAGGCAAGTGGCCTGTATGCCATTGGGACAGCCCCACACACAGAATAAATCCCCCTATTGTGCTGTGGGCTGTGTCCTCAGCTGTCACGTGTGGGACTCCCTGACAGCACCAGACCAGCACACAGCTGGGTGGCCACCAGGATGCCACTAGGATGCCAGCCCAGGCCCTGGGACAGGGCTCTCACTCTGCTCTGCTGCGTTACCACAGAGTCTGGGCTGGGACTACGGCTGTTTCCAGATGGAGATGCATGTCCAGACACTGTTTGGCATATGGAGTGGGATGGGGTTAGGAGAAGACATGACAACATACTTCACACAGTGCAATTGATGCCCCACTCGGAGTGACACATTTTTACAACTGCATGTCAGAAACCCACTTTGATAAAGCAGAAGCTGCATCTTTCTGAAGTACAGCCAGACTCACTCCTCACTCTGTCCCAATTTCTCGTTAACACTGTAGAAACATTGTAAAAAGGTTGTGGCTTTAGGTTTTGCTATCTTTCTCATCCAATTTTAACTGCACTTGCAACTGGAAGCAACGTCTGTCCTAGACCTCCACGGTCCCCTTCTGCTTGCAAGTGTGCTTGTTGCACTCTTGCAGATTCTTGGCACCTAAAAAGGCCCCTGCTGCTCTCATAGCATTGGATGCAAAAAAATGACCTGAAAACCAAGAAAGGACCAAGGTTCAACTCTTCTTTTCCTGGAAGTTTGGCAAAGTCCTGGGTAAGAGGCACAGACAAAGACCTCATAGTCCTGATATGCATTAACGGAAAAGAGCTGGCAAGGGGAGAGCTCTACACTGAAAGCAAGCAGACATTTCACTCCCGCATCACGCGCTGCACTCCTCTTCTTTCAAATCAGAGCGGGAAAATAAACTTTAAATTTCATTTAAGATCGAATTGTTTTGTTTTCTTTTTTGCCCTCTCCCAGTGAAGAGTAGCTTTGGGTCCAGTTTTCAGTTCCTGTCATTCCTCACTCAACGACTAGGGCAGAGTCCCAAAGCTGCAGAGAGGATCACACTCATTTCAGCTTGGCTTGAGTCCTAGTTTGAGTTTGGGCTGGTTTCCTGCTCTGGCCCTGGTTCTGCCCTGGGATTTACACTCCATATTGGCACTCCCTCCTCAAATCAACATTGTGCGAGACACTGACTATTGCTTTTGAGGTCCTTTCACAGAATACTTACCCAAGGAGGGAGAACCCAGCTCTCACCTGCAAACAGGCACCAGTCATTCATTAACAGCACCTAAATCGTAGGATCAACCACAGGATAGTTTGGGTTGGAAGCGACCTTTAAAGATCATCTAGTCCAACCCCTTCCACTAGAACAGGCTGATCAAAGCCCCATCCAACCTGACCTTGAACATTTCCAAGGATGGGTCATCTATCACCTCTCTGGGCAACCTGCACCAGTGTCTCACCACCATCATCATAAGAAATTCCTTCCTTATGTCCAATCTAAACCTACCCTCTTTCACTTTAAAACCATTGCCCCTTGTCCCGTCACTACAGGCCCTGGTAAAATGTCTCTCTCCATCTTCTACACAGGCCCCCTTGAAAATACTGGCAGGCTGGTAAGGCATCCCCAGAACAACAACTCTCTCAGCCTTTCTTCATGGCTTCATAAGATGTACAAAGCTTCAACCAAGAGACCCACTGCAGTGGCAGTGGTCAACAGGTGTTTTAAATCACCCCAGAATAATTTTTTCCTTCTCACAGGGCAAAAACTAATTGCTGGACTACAGCTCAAGAGAAGATGGGCTCCAGAGAGGAGGAGGGGAGCACAGGATAGAGGAAATCAGAACAATTGAAAATGCCCAAGTGTTTTTCCTCGTCTCTTATTTGAGCCAAAAGCATTCCGAGTTTGGATTTCACTGTTAGTTCACATATAGTTTTAAATGCCAATGCTTCTGTCCCCTAAGACCTATTCCAAAATGTCCTGCTAGCCAAACAGCAGATATTCCTGGATGCTTTGAAGATCAAACAGCAAATGGAGACTAGGCAAAGACTTAAACTTCCTCCCCAGCCGATGAGTTTTTCCTCTCCAGTCACATCACGATTGTTCTGTCCAGTCACAGAACTATTCCTTACTGCAAGCAATTCCATTCATCTTCACTTCCAAACATCATCAGGGTTTTTCCTCCTAACCTGTGCACCTCCTGCAAAAGGGAAATGACAGTACTTTTGGCTTCTAGAGCTGCTGGACTCTATAGCCTGGAAGTTCACCTGTTACACATCTATAGAACAATTTAGCCCCAGAAGTGCACCATTGGCTATAGCTGTGCCACTCCCTGAACCTGAGCAAGACACATGGGTTTTGCCCAGCATTTTTTAGCCCGAGAACCAGATGCCCTGGTTTCAGCAGCCAGCCCTACAGATGTCCATTTGGGGAAGAACCACTCCTTAAAAGCCAGGTCAATTCACCAGTCCCCAGTAACCTAAACCTCACAACTTGCAGCTCCCATAGCACCTGGAGTCAACCAGCCTGTGAGCCCACTAGTGTCAGTCCTGACTGCACATGCTGTTTTTCCAGCAGGCCCCTGCGAACTTGACGTGCAGCAATCAAAGGACAGGTCAGCACAGCAAACTAGGCTCCCATCTGGCAGGCAGCAAGCACATTCCAGTGTCCCAACATTCAGCTTGAAAGATCCTGGGTCCTGCTTTTCAGCAAGGCATTCACCATGAAAGCCATGGTTCCTCTTTGAGAACAGCTACATGCCTTACAGGGTCGTGGTGAAAAATGCTCTCGAGTATTTATGAACTCCTAAAATGCTGCCATTAACAAATGCAAAAATTCCTAGAAGGTAGTTTTCAGCTTTGCGTTTTATAGTAACACGAAGCGTATCAGGAGTAAGAGGACAGAAATACACTGAAGCAGCTGCCCTCAGCACACACTGCCTCCCTGAACAAGGCAAGATTGTGCAGAGAACCAGGAGATACAAATCTGTTATCCCCACTCCAATCTATCACCAGTATCAACCCTGCCATTTCCTAACTTAGTGGGGTTTTTAGTTATGCTTTGAAAATAATTTAAGGAAGAAAAACTTGTACCACATGATGTAATTCACTTGAACTTCAGCTAAAGTACTTTTGGTGACAGAAATAATCTTGGCTATATTTAGAACACTGATAAAATGTGTAGCTTTCTTCAGTAGTACAATTATTTGATTTCTTGACGTCCAGGACATTAACTTCAATTTGACCTTTTAAAGCAATTTACTTCAAAAGGTAAGGAAAAAAACCAACTATAGTTAAAGAAACTCTGAAAGCATGGGCTGTGCTCTTACCCACATGGCTAGGTTTTGTCAATGCAGATGGTTTTCTTCTTTAGGGAAGAAGAAATGCCTCTAGAGCCACACACACATGCAAGACTACCCAGGTTAAAATTTTATTGGAAACACTCAAAAGCTGTAGTAACAAGATCACCTCATAGTACAAATATAGATTTAAATGCATAAACTAAACCAATTAAAAATCTATTCAGGATTACTGTACATTAGTGGAATATTACTCTTGGCTACCCACTTTGTGAATGAAATTAAATGAAAGCTGAGTTAGGAGAAACAGCTCTAGAAACAAAAACCAATATGCGCAGCACAAGATTAGAAAGAGGTTCTTCTTTCTAACACAAGACATCCGCCAAGGAGACAAAAACAAACTGAAGGCTCTGAAGCTTTGAATTCAGTTTTCCCATGTCTGTTTATGCTTTCAGTCACATGGTCACAGCATATAATCGAGTCCATTTAACAGAATCCTGTACACTCTCCTTGCCCTTGAATTCCAATGAGGCACTCACAGAGTAACTGGGACTTTCACAGGCTACAAAGAGCAAAGATCACCTTCCACATCACAAAGCTCGGCAGGATAACTCGATACACGGACAAGCATCTGCTTAGAACTAGATCCAGTACCTTCACTCAGCATCCGTTGACTTATAGTGATCATCATCCACAGTGGAGTAGATGTGTCCCTCGCTGCTAAGGAATTCAACTGCTTGCCTTTGAAGGAAAAAAAAAAAAGCGCAATTGCTAACTAGTTCATATCAACACCCTTCTCGGGCATTTCCCACATGCAGACCCTGTCCCTACTGTTCCCTTCTGGCATCAGCCAAGGGAAGCTCTCAGTGGCTCTATCCTGTGAGCAGTTCCACCAGGCATTAGGTACAGAAAGCTTCTCCAAAGCTGTAGCAGTAAGCTTGCCCAGCAGCTATTAAGACTCCACCTGCCACAGAGGGGAAGGCCACCACTCTCAGTACTTCCCAGGTAAAAGCAGTACCTACAACCCTGCTTCAAAGGGGACAGAACACAGAAAGATAATGGATGTTAATTAGCATGTTTAGGCTTCACTGTTTTTTTAAGTCTTAAGGAGGAGAAGTTGTAAGAGACAGCAAAGGAGTAGAGAACAGAAAGAGTCCATTCCCAAGTTTGTACTGGTGTGCAGAGAGCAAAGTAGTCCTTGAACAGGGGAAAAATACTGCTGAGGCACTGCAATACTCCTAGGTACCTACTATTTTGCTACTGAACTGTTAAACAGCTTGTTTTGAAAATAGGGAGCGAAGCATTTTACCACTCCTTCAACTGACAGTCGCTCATTCTAAGCTGTTGAAGACTTAAGCTCTGTCTCACTACTGCATTCTACTGGGAACATGTGAAATTACTAGTGCTGTTCACAAGTAAGAATCTGGGCTTGCCCACTATTTTTCTCTCTGCCTCCTTTTACAGACTCCAGGAAGGACTGCTTGGATTTCCAGAACATCCTTTGTTTCTACACACTTACTTGATTGTTGACATGCTCATATTGTGGAGCTGCAGTTTTAACTCTTGAAGACTCATACCTTCTGGGACAGGGCAGTTTTTAATCAGGTTCAGCACCTAGAAAAGCAAGAACCATGATTAGTAGTACACAGCTAAGCTTCTCTATCACTAATGGACAGCAAGGTTGAGGAAAAACTATCTGTCTTCAAAGAGTAACTGAACTTTCATTTCTTTGTCCTACATCACACTGCAGCAGCATCCGCTACAAGCTCTGTGTTCCTGCAGAAGCTGCTTGCACCTACCTGACTCTGATGCGCTGTGAGTCCATTCACTGGTAGGCTGCCACCTCCTCCATAGCCCCCCATATCACTGATCCCAGCGGAGGAAAACGACTGAGGCACTCTTGATGCTGACTGCAGTTACAAGAGTAAAATTGCTGTGGTTACACAGGCTGCCGCAAGCCCACAGCATTATACACTCAGTGTTAATTCAGACAGACAGTAATTAAAAACAGATTCCCAAAAGGAATCGCTGGAAATGGACTGCAACACAATCTCTAAGGAACCCAGGACTCCTGTTAACACCTCCACTGTACCCCTCCAACAGCTTTAAGCTTTCCAGCCCCACAACTGATATACAATTTCCCCAACAAACCAAGAGGTGCCTCTCTTTGGGAGATAACCAGTAAGCCAGCAAGGGCCAAGATGGAATCAGGATCTTCAAGTACATACCATAAGATTTTTTCTGAGGATCATATGCGCATTGACAATCTCTAGTATGTGTGTGGTGAACTCATTCATATTTTCCAGAGGCATTATCTTAAACGCCACCAAGCTTTTCTTATTCTTTCAGAGGGAAAAAAAAGAAAAGAAAAGAAAAAAATTAACATCACAGCAACAGGAACATGCTTAACAACCAATCCAACCATTCTTTCCAGGAACATGGATAGTGGTGGGTAGGGAGCTTGTCTGCATGTAACTAGTCCAAAATTTTCTGACTTACGTTTTCTGGTTTGATTTTGCAAGACCATGAAGACAGGGTAACTTCTCTTTCTAACCAGCTCGTCATTAATTGCACTTTGCTTTAATGCATGCACCATTATTGGAGTATTTATTTGTATATTTAGTTATGAGGCAATCACATCACATAACATGCTACAAGAAGCAACCCCATTAACTAGAACCTTGTCTAAGGTCCACAGTACAAACAGCCAAGAACCTGGTGTCCAGTACTCTCTTGTGCTGTAAACACCACACTGATGCAAAATGGCATTTTAAATGGGTCCTCTGTCCTTTGCATTTAGGAACAATTGAAGTGTTATTAAATACAGGCCAAAAGTGTTATTAAATACCTGGCCAAAACATTCAAGCATTTGTCCATTGGAAAGGATGAGCAAAGACCACGACTAAGTGGATATTCTAAAGAGAGCCCACTAACACTGTGCCAGATCATCAATCCTTCATGCCACGGCTCCAGCCTTGTGACTTGGAGTCAGACGTGGGTAACGTGATCCTACCTGGAAAGACCGAAGATGACCAGCTACTTTTACGTAAGTTCCTGGAGGTACCACAACATTCTCGCCACCTGCCTCCTAACAGAGAGGAAAAGGAGAAAGGGAAGGCTTTGATGATTCACATTTCCATTTCTCAATTATCACAATAAATGACTAAGGAAAGGAGGCTTATCTCAAGCAAACACAAATGGCATGCATTCCTACATCCAGTAAGAGCAGTTAGGTAAACATAACCATTAATGAAAAATAAAAAATATTTGCTCGTTTGGACACAGTCTACACTTGAAAGCAAAGCCAGTAGCCTGGTCTGCTGTTTCTGTCCACTTCTGAGGGATTTTTCACAGTGCAACAAGAGGAAAGAACCTTCAAATAATAAAAAAGCAGGTATTCAACTATATAACTTGGCTAGGGGAATGGAAGCTGGCCAGAACCCTTTCTGAAGTTATGATAAACTTGCAGTTAAGACAAACGAACATCTGCCTAATTACTCTCCCAAAGTTGTTCAATTGAACTCGGCTGCTTGCCTTCGAATGTATGTTACAATAGCATGGGCTACCTTTAAAGGTCTGCTATACCAGCAGTGAAAAATATCAGCACTTCAGGAGGCATGCATGAGAAAACAAGACAATATTCATCAGCACACATCTTTGCCTCAATCACTGAGCCACACAGAAAAATCTCTGATCACTCTCTCTCCTTGTATTTCACACAAAGGTACTGAGCATGCACCTCTCAGTTCAGCTACAAAGTAACAGTTCAGCTTCAGCAGCTAAAATCTAAAAAAATTATTCAAAGTGCTTCAATGTAGAATGAAATGTGATTACAAAACAGAGGAGGAGTCACATACAGCACCAGTGATCTCTGCTATAGCAGCACCTCCCTTAGCTTTCAGAGGCATGTTATTCCTAGAACACTTTTCAGAACAGCCACGTCTTTTTGGTAAGTTCTCCCTCTTCACTGCTTCCAAAAGCTTTTAAAGAAGCATCTTCATAAGGAATAGGAATCTGGTGCTTACATCAGTATCAACCCACTGCCTGACATCCATCGGGGCTGCTGTCATGTCGTCCACTTTGTAGAGAATGTTTGTTGGTGCTTTCTCTGCGTGCCGAATTATCCCCATAATGGTGACCTGCGTTGGGAAACGGAAGGGTTTATCCGGTAAGGCCCCGGGAAACGAGGATTTTTTACCCGCAGCCTTCCCCGCGGCACTCACCTGGGAGATCTCCACGTCGCGAATCCGGAAGGTCTCGTCGACCTGCTCGGCTGCCAGCAACTGCGACACGGTGCAGGGCACGATGTTCTGGGAGCGGATTCTCTGCAAGGGATGGCGGGGCCGTCA